GGAACGCGCAGGTTTCGTGCGACGGCCTCTGCCAGGAAGAGGCATGCACTGGAGCTCCAACTCGTAGTTGAGCGAGTGGGGCACATCATCGCAACCAGGGGGCCAGTGATCAACAACCAGGACACGGCCGTTGACAGGGCCGCTTGGAAGGCGTCTGAGCTTGTGCTGGTGGACTCTCGCCGACCCCACGTCATGATTGGCATGGGGGAGGCGGGTCCTGAGGGGAACGGGCCCTGGACCATGAGGCCTCCCCCCCAGGACAGGCGCTCCATCCTGCCTCGTTCTCTGTCAGCCCCGGGGCCCATGGAGGGCACCGAGAGCCCAAGAACGGCGAATGACCCGAGGTCGAGCATGTCCTCCTACAGGCGGATTACGGTGAACGAATGAAACAGAATCAAACTTTTTCAGAATTGTTAAACAAAGATCTTAAAAGAAATCGTCACCTGACTATTTGTTGCCTCTTCATGAGCATTCCTCTGGTATAGGGACGCGCCCGACTGAAGAACAACCTCAGGACCCATTTCCCTCAGGACCCGCTCCCCCCTATGACGACCCGAAGTCGATCCCCCCGCCCCCCATGGCGCGGTTGTGCCGGCTGGCAGAGCCGGAGGGGCAGAGCTGCACAGGGTGGCGTCGAGCTGCGGGCGCTGCCCGCGGACCGTGAGCTGATTTCAGACGAGCGCGTTCCACCACAGTCCACCAGTGTAGTAAGGATGCGCGATAAGGATGCGAGGGCCTGGGATGCCCATTTCGAAGCTTTTCGAGCGGGGCGCGGCGAGCGAAAGCGGCGAAGGATGGGCCGAGGAGGCAAGGATGCAAAGGTACCCTTGGGAAGGTTGCCAGTCCTTCCTGTGCGGGTTGACTGTACTCGCAAAATGTCTACTCGCAAATGGCCTGGATCTGTCGTGGGGGATCTACGATACATTACATCGAAGCAGACATGCTTTTTTGTTCAGACGTTTGCGAGGACACGGAGGACAGGGAGGAGGAGGAGCAGGAGGAGGAGGAGGAAGAGGGGAGGAAGAGAAAAAGGAGAAGGACGACGACGACACGGCTACAGTAACAGGAGGGGCGCAAAGAAGAGTGGGTCGAGGAGGCCAAGCAAGATGAGGGGAAAAGTGGGTTGGAAGAATACACTGACATCCTACGTAGCGAAACATTCAAACATTCTGTGGAAAATCGCGACCAAAGCCCAAAAAACTTGTATTCTGTCCATTTTTCAAGCCGGAACGACCCGTGAGTGCTCCCGGGCGCGAATCTGGGAGAAGCCGCCCGGCTCGAACAAACTGAGACGCCGGGATGTCATGGAAAGAGGACAGGGATGAGGGGGAGGACGAGAAGGACGAGGAGGCGGAGGTGCAGCAGTGCGAGGACGAAAGCGACGAGGAGGACGAGGACGGGGACGAGCAGGACGTGGCTGGAAGAGGAGCGTGCGTAATTGGCGCCCCCCGAGCACCCATGGGCAGCGTGCCCATGTGCGGCACGCCCATCTGGGAGGCGCCCGCGGAGGGCCGCGGCATCTGCGGGGGCGCACCTCGGCATCGGTCGGGGGCGGGCGCAGAGGCCACCATAGATGTGGTCCGAGCGGGTGGGGTCGGAGAATCGAGCCGCATCGCCGATGACTCGTCGACGTCGCCGACGCATCGAAGCCGGCCACGCGAAGACAATTGGGGTCCACATCGAGCCGCATCGTCGACGCCACCGGCTCGGACCCAATCCGGGAGGCCGAAAGGGCAGCGCCCGTCTCGGCTTGCTCGGGGCGTCTTCTGAAGGCGACACCTCCGCCCAACGCCACCAATTGATGAGGCGAAAGGGAGGAGGGAGGAGGAGGAGGAAGAAGAAGAAAAAGAAAAAAAGAAAAAAAGGAGGAAGAAGAGGAAGAGGGCGCAGGAGAAGGAGGACACACACCCGTCGAAAGAGCACGCTCCATCCCACAACTGACTACCTTAGGAGGCCTTGAAACTTCGTCCCTCTACGGCGACCGTACGAAGACGGCCGACAACAGTTTGCTGGGTTGAAGACGGAGAGCCTGAAAGGCAGAGTGGATGGAATCTACGGCAACAAAAACACTGGCCAGGGCCTGGGGATCGACGGGGGAAGGTGGGGGAGGCAGGAGGCGCCAGGCTCTTGGCCCCAATGTTCAGGCACACGGCGGAGCAGACGGACCAGGGATGGGACAACGACAGGACAGAATAAAGAATGGATCAGATCATCTCCGCCAACGCACTGACGGCCGAACATGCAAGACAACGCCCCCAGTCTATATATGTTACTGGTGTGGCATCCTCGGAGCAGCGTCTCGAGGAAAGCGACACAGATGAAAGTGACACCGCCAGTGGGACCTTCGGTGGAACTCCCTATGGGGCCATGCAACGTGCGACCGGTGCCGAAATTGGTAGGGCGGCCGCATGTGGACATGGCCACTGGGGCCTTGGGATGAGCTCCCGATGGGGCCACGAAACGTGCGAGGAATATGCTGAAAGAGGATGGGGCGGCCGCATGCGGACGAGGCTATGGGGCCACGAAGCGTGTGAGAGGTGTGCCAGAAATGGTGGGGCTGGCGCACGTGGACACCGCCAATTGGGCCTTCGGTGGAGCTCCCTATGGCGCCACGAAACGTGTTGGATGTGTGCCGGAGTGGGTGGGGCGGACGTATGTGGACACCGCCACTGGGGCTTTCGGCGGAGCCCCCTATGCGGCCACGAAACGTGTGAGTTTGCCAAAAAGGTTGGTGCGACCATGAGGACATTGCTCCTGGCACCTTGGGAGAACCTCCCTATTGAACCTTCAAACGTGTGATGGGAGTGCCGGAGTGGCTGGGGCGGCCGCATGTGGACATGGCCACTGGGGCCATTCAGTAAAGCTCCCTGTGGAAGAACGAAACGCGTGAGGGCTGTGCCGACATGGACAGGCAGAGGGCAAAGGCAGAAACGGGAGGAGGGAGGAGCAGGAGAAGGAGGAGGAGTAGTGTAGAAGTAGGAGTAGGAGTAGGAGTAGAACTAAGAGTAGGAGTAGGAGTAGGAGTAGGAGTAGGAGTAGTAGTAGCAGTGGTCGTAGTAGTAGTAGTAGTAGTAGCAGTAGCAGCAGTAGTAGTAGTAGTAGTAGTAGTAGTAAAAGTAAAAGTAGTAGTAGTAGTAGTAGTAGTAGTAGTAGTAGTAAAAGTAGTAGTAGTAGTAGTAGTAGTAGTAGTCGTCGTAGTAGTCGTAGTAGTAGTAGTCGTAGTAAGTAGTAGTAGTAGTAGTAGTAGTAGTAGTAGTAGTAGTAGTAGTAGTAGTAGTAGTGGTGGTGGTAGTAGTAGTAGTAGTATTAGTAGTAGTAGTAGTAGTAGTAGTAGTAGTAGTGGTAGTAGTAAAAGTAGCAATAGAAATAACAATATATAAGTAGTAGTAGCCGTAGTAGTAGTAGTAGTAGTAGTAGTAGTAGTAGTAGTAGTAGTAGTAGTAGTAGTAGTCGTAGTAGGTAAAGTAGTAGTAGTAGTAGTAGTAGTAGTAGTAGTAGTAGTAGTAGTAGCATTAGTAGTAGTAGTAGTAGTAGTAGTAGTGGTGATAGTAATAGTAAACGTAGTAGTTGTAGTCGTAGTCGTAGTCATAGTCGTAGTCGTAGTAGCCGTAGTAGTAGTAGTAGTCGTAGTAGTAGTAGTAGTAGTAGTAGTAGTAGTAGTAGTGGTTAGTAGTCGTAGTAGTAGTCGTAGTAGTAGTAGTAGTAGTAGTAGTAGTAGTAGTAGTAGTAGTAGTAGTAGTAGTAGTAGTAGTAGTAGTAGTAGCAGTAGTAGTAGTAGTAGTGAGTAAAAGTAGTCGCAGTAGTCGTAGTAGCAGTAGTAGTAGTAGTAATAGTAATAGTACTAGTAGTAGTAGTAGTAGTAGTAGTAGTAGTAGTAGTAGTAGTAGTAGTAGTAGTAGTAGTAGTAGTAGTAGTAGTAGTAGTAGTAGTAGTAGTAGTAGTAGTAGTAGTAGTAGTAGTAGTAGTAGTAGTAGTAGTAGTAGTAGTAGTAGTAGTAGTAGTAGTAGTAGTAGTAGTAGTAGTAGTATGGGTAGTAAAGGTAGTCGTAGTAGCAGTAGTAGTAGTAGCAGTAGTTGTTGTTGTTGTTGTTGTAGTAGTCGTAGTAGTAGTAGTAGTAGTAGGCGGAGGAAGAGGAGGAGGGGGAGAAGGAGGAGGAGGAGGAGGAGAAGGAGGAAGAAGAGGAGAAGACACGGGGCGCTGCCTCGTGAAAACGAGGACACAACACCGCAAGATGGTTGGGAGCAGTCATAAGGTCGGAGTTCTGAGTCCCTCGAGGGCAGCGCTCGGCTGGGACTGGTCCAGGGGGGTAACATCGGGCATGGCATCGGGAATCCATCGCCGACTGATCGGCCGCTTATCCTCCGATGTCGAATCCGCACCCTCCTGGGCTCCTGGGCATGTGCTCGCGGATCTCGCATCGACGATCAAGTCGGCGATTCGGGGGCGGCGCGTCCGATCCTCCCCGAATTACTGACGTTTCCCCTGCCACGTCTGCTACATGTGGTGGAGGCGCCACCGCTCTGCTCTGATGCCAGAGCATCCGTGAGCCTTCGGCGCGCAAAAACCCCAGGAGGGCACACGGCGTGTTGTAGGGACAGCGCCGCTCCGTCGAACGGCGGAGTTCCGATGGAGGGCAGGGGCACCCCCTCCCCCAGAAAGAAGAAACACAAACAAACACATCCCGACAAGCGAAGCGCCTGAGTAAACGAACCTCAGGACGGAATCGAACAGGGCAGGGCTGTTCTGCAAACGCCCAGGGCTGCACAGCAACTGCCAATTATTCGGCGGTGGACAAACCTGCCTTTAGTAAACCTCCCTTTAGTGAAAACGGTCTAGGACCGAAACCGACGGACCTAGACCCGAACAAATAACGGCCGCGACGCCCTCTCGCGAACCAAAAAAGGCCCGTTCACTAATCGACGTGTCAGGGTAGGAGGTCTATCCACCTCCGAAATATGGATTATGGGGGTCGGGGTGGATTTTCCTGCTTTGATTTGAAGCGGGCAAAGCCCAACCGAAGAAACGGCATCTTTTGTTGTACTGCAACTGCGATAGTTTGCTTTCCTCTGGGGAGGTGGTCTAGCTGGCCGCAGTTCGTCAACTCTACCTAGCGGAGCACGTGCAGCAGGAACGTAACGGGAAACGACGGAGGACGGAGAGAGAAAGAAGCCTTCAAACATCATGCGCGCGCTGTCACGCCAGCTGGAGGAACATATGAAGCCAGCGTCAGGAGATGGAGAGAAGGGAGACATGCAGGGGTCGGGACCGAGCTGGATTGGAAGAAAAAGTTCGATCGACGTTGGCGCGCTGGTGGAGGTTCTACGAAAGTCGGGGCCGTTTGAAACCGTCGGCCAACAGGCGGCCCAACAGATTTTGGGCGGTGGGCTGTCTCGAAGAATACCTACGACTGGAGCGCGATAAAAATTTGAGTTGTACTATATACGACTGCTTTCCAATATCACATACTTCCGTCCCGCATCTAGGCTCCTGGTCGCAAGCCGGCCGGCCGGTTGCCTCTAGAGACCGTTATCGCTGTGGCAGCCATCGCCCCATCACCGCAGTGCACAGGCGAAGTTACCAACCTCGTCTTTCGCCCAGCAGTCGCAAGCACCGTTTTTAACGACCTGGGACCCAACCAACATCAAGAGCGGCGCGACCACAAGGCAGCCGATGACAGTGAACGCACAAATTACGAAAGCCAAGATCATGGCGAGGGCGCCTCCGATCAGCGCGCCATACTGTACGTTCAAACACGATGTCTGCCCGCGCCGCCTGCGCTTCCTGCTTCCTTTCTGCGTCAGCGCGTCGTCCATACCTTTTTCAAAATAAACCCTGCGCAACTGCGCCTCCAACCGTGCCTCGGCGGATGCCGGCAAATCCTGCGTCTGGAGCACCTGCACCATCTCTTCGCGGGTGACCCAGACGATCTGCGTCTCAGCAGGGATCTCGAAGGCTATGGTGTGACCCACAGGTGCCTCGCTCACGAAATCAAACGACATGCCCATGAAACTGTTGGTGGTCGTTTCTCGTGTGTCAACCGAGAAGGTGCTGTTGTTAACGGCGTAAGTCACGGTGTTGTCGCCCATGGTCTCAACGCGCTCACTGTCATGAGGGCACTCTTCAGTCACATCGTCAGTATCCTCCACGAAGAACATTTTTAACATCACAGGGACCGCTGTTCTCCTGTATTCCTGTGGCACTTCCGTCAGCATGGCAGGAGCGTCGCTGGTGCTGGCCCCCATGAACATTACGGTGTCTGGCTGATCGAGCCCATCGGGGGACAAGACCGTCCGGACGATGTTCCCACGGTACTCCACAGTCGCGTTGGACCTCACGCCGGACTGCCCCGTGTAGTGGCAGATGTGGCCGTTGCGACACGGCAGCAGTCCCCCTTTGTAGCTGCATCCGCCGTTCTCAGCCATCTTACTGGCAAACTTGCGGAACGTCTCGGCCGCACGGGCGTGAAGCTCGACCTCGGACGCGGCGTGCTGGTCAACGAGGTGTTGGAGATCTACCATACCGCTGCCCCTGCTGGCCTCACCCGCCGCGGCGCCCTGCCCGGCACGCCGGAGCAGTGCCTCGTGTGCAGCGTCAAGCGTCAGGGCCTGCAGCGGCAGGGCAGCGCTGGCGACCAGCACGAGGCAGGCGATGCCCTTCAACGCCATGGGCTCGCCTTGTCGGGATTTACGAGAACTGTGTAGGCGTGTGCGCAGTACAGTAGATAGTTTGCGTCTCGAGGCAAAACGGCTTGAGCCAAACTGACCACGGACCGAAGGAACGGCATCTCTTGACCTGTCTTTCTTTCGTCCTCTGGATTACCGGCCTCGAACGTATCCCTATCCCTAAGATTGACCCGCCAAGAGGCGATGACAATCTTAGGGATTCGCCCTCAAAAAATAAGGGAATCCCTAAGACTGGCATCGTGATGAGGAGGTGCCCAGCACAGGGATAGGGATGTGTTCCAGGCTGGTAACCGGAGGCCGGTCTCGGGCCCCGGGCTGGTGGGCAGCGTCGAACCAGCACCCCCACAGATGGCCGCCCTGGAAGCATCCAACATGCCGTGGGCAACGACAGTGTCAGCAGACCAGCAGCTGACTGCCTACCGGACCACCCCAACCCAACCCGAAGACCCGAATTTCGGGTTGGGGGGGGTAAGGGTTCCACGCGTGTTTGTTCGATGCTTCCCGATCCCCCCCCCACTAGAAATCGAGGATAAATCTGAGCCTTCGGGTTGGGTTGGGGTGGTTTGGTGGATGGTGAGCAACATTGCCGCCAACGCCAGCGACTGTATGCAAAGAGGCGCTGGCAGTGCTCGCCCAGTCGCCCATGGCCAAGCTGGCAGGCCCCTCGTACCCGACTTTGCAAAGTCGTCCGCGATGGCCGCCGCGTGAACTCCTGGAGGGCTTCGCCTTCTTGCTGCGCTGCCGTCACTACCTTTGGGCTTTGTTCCTGCGCGTGGCCCCGCCGACGTGGTGGCCATTGATCGGGGGCGGCCAAGAGGGGCGTCCAAGAGGGGGGGCCGCAACTCATGGCCCGCGGCGTGTGCGCGGCCCATGGGGGGGGGCCAGGGACGTAATGAAAGAAGAAGAGGCGCCATGAAATCTGAGGAAATATCATGGCCCACGCCATGATGTCCACCCCCCCCAGTCATCACCCCCCTCTTTGCCGCCCCCGAATTGATGGCGCAACGGCAACAACACGCAACGTCTGTTCTACCGGGCCCAGGATACCTGGGCCGACAGGCTCCGACTCGCCACGGGGCTCCAGGCGGCCCCGGGTGATCCCTCCACAGATGCCGACGCCGCGCAACAGGACCACTGGTGACGGAGTGCAGTATGGACCCGAGAAGCCCTGGATTGCCTGCGAGATGGCCCCTGGGCCCCCCCCCAGGGAAAACAGTGATCACTGCGTGGCTGTCGCGTCTGTGCCGTGACACGTTTCGACGAGTCTTTCCGATCCCAGCTCAGCCCCGCATGGCCCGACACGGCCGATGGAGCAATCTAGAATTTCAGGATCCTCCCAGGATGCCGAAAATGTGCACTGGTGGAAGCCGAATTCGGGGGCAAGCGAGACGCATCTCAGGAGGCCCACGTCGCCCTTCGGGAGGTCCAAGAGGCCTGCCGGAATGCTCGACAGGCTTCGCAGAAGCCAGAGGGCCCTCGGGTGGCTTTTCAGGAAGCCCAACGGACATCTCGGGAGTTTCAAAGTTTCCCCCAGGAAATCCCCAGGAGGCCCAGGAAACTCTTCGGTGTGGCCCAGGGGGCTCCTCGGAAAACCCACCTGGGTCTCCTAAAACCCAAACCTGTCTAACTAAAGAAGAAACCACAACCGCACCTTATATTTTGGGGTGCAGATTCCGACGTTCAAGAATGTATCGCAAAAGCGGAACACTTACCCAACAACAAAATGGCGGAAATGAAGCCAGAGATGGGATATGGTTGTACGGGGTCACTTTCTAACCTGACCCAAAAGTCTCGCAGGGCTCTCTCGGAAGCCCAGGAGACCTTCCCCGAGGCCTGAGAGGCTTGCCTGGAAACCCGCGAGGCCTCTCAGGCGGCTCAGGAGCCCCATCAGCAGGCCCAGAGGCCTCCTGACGACGCTCAAGGGGCAGTCTCGGCCCTCCTCCTTCCCCCTCTCCCGCCGGGCTCTCCGCTGGCCCCCCTCGGCTCGGCCGTCTGCCCCGGAGGCCCCCCGAGGCCCGATCACCTGCGGACCACGCGGCGGCCTTCGCGGCCGAACGCCAACAATGGTGCCAAGCGAACGTGACCGCCGTCGGGGACGCCTGCCCCCCCGGGCGGCTGGAAAGTTGGTGCCCCTACGTGGCAGCGCAGGGGCACAAGCTTCGCAGCCGCCCGTGGGGCAGGCGTCCCCGACGGCGCAACAGGAAGCAGATCACACCAGTCTTCGCCCCCTGATAGATGGGGTCCGAGCACGGCTGGTTCGCGCCGCGATGTCGCGGGCGTTGGTCTCTGACGCCTCGAGGATCGTTAAATCTTGAACGATCGCGGCTCTCCGATAGCGCAGATCGCTCTGCATGTGTCGATTCTAAGACACTGGCGGCGTTTAGCCTTGAGCGCCCGCGCTGAAGTCGCGGCTGCGTCAAACCGAGCGTAACCGCGCTAAGTCGTTAGAACCCCTCCGAGCAGTGGAAATTCATTATTGTTCGGCGCCCGTATTGACGGAGTGGGGCCCCACCGAGACTGGGAGAAAACATTGATCCGCAGCACCCGCCGCGCAACAACGACGACGCTGACGACGAGATGAAAGAGGAGATTGTGATCAACGCCGTCGGCAAAGAATGTGCCGATCTATTTCGCATCCCTCTTACAAACGTGCTCAAAATCCCACCAGCCCTCTGGGCTTAGGTGGTCTAGGGAGTATGCTCTTCCAACCCTACTATTCCCCTTCAGGGAGGGGTGCACCCCTCCCCCCTGCACCCTCCCCTGGACCTGGACGGGGCGTCCCGCGAGGTGTCAGAGGGCACCCGTTCGCCCAAAATGGCCCCAAGAGCGCCTCGGAGAGCCCAAGATGAGCTCCAAAACGGCTCAAGATAGCCTAAGATGCCTTAGAATGGCTCCGAAGATGCTCCAAGAGGGTCCAAGAACGCTCTAAGACGGCTCCAGGTGGCCTCCAGGACCTCCGAGGCCCCTAGGAGGCCAAAATATTTCAAAAACCTGGAGAACATAAATGTGTGTTGCGTTCTTGCCGTTTCTCTTCCGCTGGCCTTCCGAGGCCTCAAGATAGCTCCAAGATGGCCCAAGAGAGCCCCCAGAAAGGCCCAAGAAAGCCGCAAGAGCGCACAATGGGCGCTCCAATAGGGGTTCACGAGGCGATTGTCGGTGCTCCCGAAGGGAGAGGCTAATTGCAACTCCCCTCTTGTGTGTGCGCGTTCGTGCAAGATGGCCCCAAGAGCGCCCCTGAAGCCCCCAAGAACGCCCCAAGAGGGCTCCAACAGGAGCACAAACGACCCCAAAAGGCGTCCAGGAAGCCTCCAAAAAGCTCCCAAGAGATCCCCTAAGAAACCTCAAGGGGATGCCCGATACACCCAAGACGTTCAAAGACAGCCCTGAGCTCGCCAAGATGCCCCTCCTCCTCCTCCTACTCCTCCTCCTCCTCTATTTTTTCCTCCTTCCTCCTCGCCCCCCTTCTCCTCCTCCTCCTCCTCCTCCTCCTCCTCCTCCTCCTCCTCCTCCTCCTCCTCCTCCTTCTCCTCTCTCTCCTCCACCATCCTCCCCCTCTTGGGGTATCGGACGGCTTCCTCCGCCTTCCTGTTATTCCGCATGCTTCTCCACTTCCCTGGTCAGCTGAAATCCCGTTATGAGCATCCATTCTGGATGGGCTGGTGGGGATTTGTTTGTTCGTAAGCGCAAGCGGAAGGGCCGCGCGCAGATCAAAGCTACAGCGAACAAGCAGGAGCCTGAATTGCACTAGGGTTGGTGGAGATACTTTTTACTCCGCGGCCGCGGGCGAGCGCGCCGGGGCGAGTCCAGTCAAAGCGGGGCACGCAAAAACAAATGTACCCAAAACAACGGAGGGCATCCTCACCTAAAGCGGCTAAGCGGAGCCTCGCGCAGCACCTCAGCGGCGGACCAGCGAGTGGAGGGGGCAGCTGAAACTGAGTCGTACTCAACAAGTTCTCTGTCGTGCAGGGTCGCACAAAGTGCAGCATTCCCTAGGAAGAAAGAGAAGCGAGGGGGAAAAAAAAACTGACCCAAACGTAGAAGAGGCATAATCTCCGCCGCGACGACGACGTCACTTATGACTACAACCAAAAAGCGACTATGACCACGACTATAAGCACAACGCGACGAGTACGACTACCATCGCAACTACAACCACGAGTGACATAGCGAGTATGACCACGTGCCCAATCACTACTCCAACTACATCCATTGACTCCTAGATCAACCCGCATGAGAAAAAGCTGACACATCCTCGCGCGGTGACCCTTATACCAAACGGCATGAGAAAAAGCTCCCAAATCATCGCGCGCGTATGGCATCTCACAATGTATTACCCCGCGGGGGGGGACCTACATTACCTCTCCCGCACAACAATAAACGGAAACGGCGTTCCACCGCGACGACGACGACAAGGAGTAGAGACCACGAGCCCCCCCCCCGTCATTCATCTCTTCGTCTTGCCTTGAGCCGTAGTAGTAGTAGTAGTAGTAGTAGTAGTAGAAGTAGTAGTAGTAATAGTAGTAGTAGTAATAAAAATAGTACTAGTAGTAGTAGTAGTAGTAGTAGTAGTAGTAGTAGTAGTAGTAACAGTAGTAGTAGTAGTAGTAGTAGTAGTAGTAGTACTAGTAGTAGTAGTAGTGTAGTAGTAGTAGTAAGAGTAGTAGTAGTAATAGTAGTAGTAGTAGTAGTAGTAGTAAGTAGTAGTAGTAGTCGTAGTAGTGGTTACGGTAGTCGTAGTAGCCGTAGTCGAAATAGTCGTAGTAACAATCGTAGTAGTCGCCGTAGTAGTCGTTGTAAGTGTAGCAGCCCTAGTAGTCGAAGTCGTAACAGTTGTAGTTGTGGTAGTCGTAGTAGTAGTACTAATGCGAGTTGTGCAGTAACACTACGATTATTACTACTACTACTACTACTACTACTACTACTGCGACGACCAGCAATTGAGGACGGAGTAGTAGTAGCGGCAGTAGTCGTACAAACTAATGGTAGTAGTGTGGTAGTAGTAGTAGTCGTATTAGTAATACTAAGTAGTGGGCAGGAATAGTAATATTATTTCAGCAGTGCTCGTGTGACAGTAGGATTAGAAATAGTAGTAGTAGTAGTAGTAATAAAAGTACTAGCGTGGCAGTCGTAGTAGGTCGTAAAAGTAGTAGTAGTAGTAGTAGTAGTAGTCGTATTAGGAGTAGTAGCGTGGTAGTAATAAGGAATAGTAGCAATACTACTAATAGCAGTCGTAGTGAAGACAGGGGTAGGAGTAGTAGTAGTAGTAGTAGAAGTAGTAGACGAAGCAATAGCACGTGTATCAATAATCATGACAGTGCTAGTGGGAGTAGTTGTGATAGCAGTACTAGTAGCAGCAGCCGCAGTAATCGTAGTAGCAAGAGTAGTACTAGTACTAGACATAGTAAAATAGTCGCGGTAGTAGCTGCAGTACTGGTAGTAGTAGTAGTAGTAGTAGTAGTAGTAGTAGTAGTAGCCGTTGAGAGCGCTGGTGAACATAAGTATTAGTAGTGGTCGCAGTAGTAGCACAAGTAGGATTAGCAATCGTGGCAGGAAAAAAAGGAATAATATTACTGATACTACTACTACTGCTACTACTACTACTACTACTAATACGACTACGACTGCTACTGCCACGGCTACTACTACTACTACTACTACTACTACTACTACTACTACTACTACTACTACTACTACTACTACTACTACTAACACTGCTACTACTAGT